ATTATAAGATATTGAGTATAGTTTCCTGTACTATAGTATATATGTTATTTTTTGTATTATGTGCTATAATATATAACATATATATAATCTATCTATATATATGTATATGACCCTGATGCTGGGAAAGATTGAAGGCAAGAGGAGAAGGGAACAACAGAGGATGAGATGGTTGGATGGCACCAACTCAGTGGACATGAGTTTGAGCAAACTCCGGGGGATGGTGAAGGACAGGAGAGGCTTGTGTGCTGCAGTCCATAGGGTTGCAAAGAGTCGGACACAGCTTAGCAACTAAACAACAGCAACAAGGGTTCCCAAATTTGCCTCTCGGAAATACACATATTAACCTTTCCCTAAAATGGGAGAAAGGCTTTTTCCTCAGTTCCCATCAGAAAATTATAAGTAATGAGAATTGTTTTGATTAATACCAATATTTCATGCTATTTTGTAACAAGCACTGGTTACTCTGGATGAACAAGTTTGAGAACCACTGATTCTGGGAGGGTCCACCGCTCCAGTGGGCTGAGCTGGGAGGAGCTAGGGATTTGAATGACGGCCCCTCCTGTTTCCTGTTTCCGCAACTCAAATACCTGTAAATAGGTCAAGTCCATGTCCTCTTGCTGCAGCCAGGCCGTGAAGTCCATTTACATCTATTCAAAAGCCCCACTTAATTTCTCTTTCTAATGTTCTACTTTTCATAAGGAATATAGGCTATTTCAGAACAGTCTTAGTAAGGCCGTTTATAAAAGTTGAAGGTTACTAAATGTCATGAAGGCAGCTAGCCTGGTAATTATAGACTCGATTCAAAGCACTTTAAACAGATTACCCCCAGCCTCCAGCTCCATCCAGAAACAACTCTGGGACACAGAGGGGAGGGTGAGTGGATATTAGGTGAAAAACAGCTGCTGAAATTGAACATTCCCGACTCCCAGGGTGGCACAGACTCTTTTTCTACCGCATAGGGGAGGAGTAAAAGGAAGGAAGAAAAACGGGAAGAAAAGCTTCTTTCCGTGACCTCCAGAATTTTCCTCTAGTAGCTAAAAGAGGACAGGAAGTAAAAAGAAGCAAAAGCATCCTCAGACCCATCGGTCTGAAAGTACCCCGGCACCTGGGGACCCTTGAGCTGCAGTCTGGACAAAACGAGGAGGCTGACATCCAGACAGAAGCAGAGGTTTGGCTGAGCGCAGCACCCAGCCGTCCCGCAGACCCTCTGCAACTTTAGATGTTTGCTCTTCATTGCTCTGCGTAAAGGCACTGTTTTTAACGTTTTAGTTCAGATATTCTAATAAGTTGGTATACTTAGGTGTGGGCTTCCCAGGTGGCGCAGATGGTAAAGAGTCTGCCTGCCATGCAGGGACCCGGGTTCGATCCCTGGGTCGGGAAGATGACATGGGAGAAGGAAATGGCAACCCACTCCAGTATTCTTGCCTGGGAAATCCCACGGATAGAGGAGCCTGGCGGGCAACAGTCTATGGGGTCGCAAAAAAGTCAGACACGACTTATCAACTAAATAGCAACAGCGGCAATACTTAGGTATATTCTCAGAAGTAGAAAAACTGATTTATACTGACCCCTATACACTCAGACCACATGAGCCAAGTGCACGCCCTGCTCTCAGCTTCTCAAACTCACATGACCTTTCTTTTCCAGCTGCTACCCTAGAGTCTCCTGGGGAAAGAATGCTCTCCTTTCTAGAAGCCACCTGTATGAGTTTGCTAGCAAACACTGTCCTAGCAAAGCACCACAGACAGCAGAAGTGTGTAGCCTCACAGTCTGGAGGCTGGAACGTCGAGGCAGTGGCGGTGAGGTTGGTTCCTTCAGAGGCCATGACCGAGAACCTGTCCCAGGCCCCTCTCCAGCTTCCAGGGTTTGTGATATGTAGTGTCCTTTGGCTTGAGGAGGCATCTCCCTGATCTCTGCCTCGATGGTCTCATGAGCTTGTCCTTACGCACATTTCCGTAGGTCTCCAAATTCCCCGCTTAGGACACCAGGCGCCTTGGGCTGGGAGCCCACTGTCCTCAGCGTCACCCTGCACGTGTGTGCTTGGTCGCTCAGTCATGTCCAAATCTTCAATCCCACGGACTGCTGCCCACCAGGCCCCTCTGTCCATGGGATTTTCCGGCCAGAATACTGGAGTGGGTTGCCATTTCCTTCTCCAGGGGATCTTTCCCACCCCGGGATCAAACCCAAGTCTCCTGCACTAAAGGCGAATTCTTTACCATCTGAGCCACCAGGGAAGCCCCAGCATCACTCGACCTTCACTAATTATACCTGCAAAGATCCTGAGGCCAAATCAGGTCACCTTCTGAGGTCCTAAGGGCTAGCAGTCAACAAATGAATTGTGAGGGGACAGAGGTCAACCCATACATCATCCTCTGAGTCTCAGCCTTTCTCCGGTCTCAAGGTCCCCACTTTGGCCATCCAGTCAGGTCCGCTCAGCTGGCATTTATATCAGCTCTAACCTTTACCAGGGAATTTTAGTTCCTGAGCTATTCATAGCCAGCCCTGTGCTCCTGCACTTGGCACGGTTCTGTTTGCCCAGCATGGCTGCCTTTACCATTGGCAGCTGCCTCTGCCAGGAGGGGCAAGGGGGCCAGAATCAGGACATCTCTTGGGGAATCTCCACACAATGAACTTGACCGGCAATGAAAAGGCATGTACAGATCAACAGGGCCATGATTTCCAAGTCTCAGCACTCACGGTAAGCCGGGTGTGTGGTTCAGTAACATCTTCATCCCGGCTTCAGGTTTCATTGGCTCATCTCAGATCTGAATGCACTTCTCACCTCGCTGCAAAGTGGGGCTGGAGGGCTCCCTCCCTGCCTCAGAGGGTCAGGTCACCTTCGTACATTCTGATCCAAGCAGGACATCACAGCTGCCTCCCTGATCCCTGCTCATAACTAATCCCACTTCTCCCTTCTTTGCTCTTTCTGCCAAGTGCCAGCCTTCTCCTGGTTTTCCCTTCCTGTTGCCTCAGTGGTTCTACTGGCCCCACCACACTCCACACCTGACACCTGGGCTCAACTGGCAGTTCGCCTTTTGATTTCCACCTCGGCTCCTCCTCTGGGATTCAGATCTCTCCTGCATTTGCCTCCCTCACCAGCCCTGTTCTCTGTATGACTCAGTCATCTTAGCCCCATGCCTCTTGAAATCACTTACTCATACCTCACTCCCACTGGGATTCACATTTGTGAATTTAAATATCTTTGTTTTCATCCTGAAGAGCATGCTTAATTCAACATCCTCATGATTCCAGGCTAATCCCTACAAAAGATGGAGGATTATTTCTTTTTACCAATTAATATGGTAATAAACCCACAAAGAGTCAGAAACAACTTAGCAACCGAACAACGACAACAACAAATAGTAACAAATCATTCCCCACACTTTGAAATAGAGGAAGGGATTCTGGTTGTTTCACAAAAAAGAGAGACCCTGCATTTGACCTCCTTTCTGATTTCAAAACAGCTTCTGTACTTCTCAAGTACATAAATATTCATATTAATGAATGAGTGAACACAGCAGGAACCCTACTATTAGAGCAGTATGTAAAACACTATGAAAACACAAAGATTATTGTTTTCCTAGATAGTCTAAACTTTGTATCAAGAGGTAGAAAATAGTCAATATTTTATTTAACCTTTACTAAAATGTCATGGGGCTTCCCTGGTGGCTCAGATGGTAGAGAATCTGCCTATGGTGCAGGAGACCCAGGTTTGATCCCTGGGTTGGGAAGATCCCCTGGAGAAGGGAATGGCTACCCAGTCCAGTATTCTTGCCTGGAGAATTCCATGGACAGAGAAGCCTGGAGAGCCACAGTCCATGGGGTCACAACGAGTCATAGACAAATAACACACACACACACACACACACACATACACACACACACACACACACAAATCAGTGTCAGAGTGCTTAGTTCATACATTATGAAATTTTTCTCTTTCTACCTTTTTCACCCTTTGGCACGTACACATTCATTCAGCCTTTGTTGATTAAAGCCCTTTATGTTCTAGCTACACACTGGTCTCAAATCCTCACATTGGAGGGACTTGGAAAGCACAGAGACAGCATTTTTCCACTGGGCAAACTATACCCACAGTTTCCACCCCCCACAATTTTTGCCTTCCTGGGAAAAATGAAACAAAAGGAATTACAAACAGTGAATAGCTACCTTTAAATTTTTATTGAAAAGCCATGTTTTGTTGAATCACTGTGTTGTACACCTGGAAGTAGCATAATGTCGTAGATTCATTAAACTTAATAAAGAAAAAAGAAAAGGCATATTAACACATAGGAATTTTCTCTTAGTAAATAATTTAGAATACCTACAGACATTGAGGGCTTCCCTGCTGGCTTAGTGGTAAAGAAGCCCCCTGCCAATGCAGGAGATGCGGGTTTGATCCCTTGAGCAGGAAATGGCAACCCACTCCCGTATTCTTGCCTGGGAAGTTACATGAACAGAGGAGCTTGGTGGGCTAGAGTCCATGGGCTAGCAAAAGAGTCAGACATGACTTAGCAACTAAACAACAATTACATAGGCACTGAGCTTTCAAACTAGCCACCAAGCATTCTTTTATAACATCAAAAGAATGGAAGCAACCTAAATATATAATAATAGGAGATTGAGCAAGTGATACTAAATAAACCTGCAAAATTCAGCACAACCAGTCAAATACAGAAGCATGTTACGGAGAGATGTTTATGGTTCACAAAAGAGTATGTATGTAGTATGATGCCATTTTTGTGTTGAAACACCCACGCATACTCCACCACATAACACCCATAAAACACCTGGATGATTAACACCCAGAGTGTCGACTGTGACCCCTTCTGGGCAGAAGGATGGATGAGACTGTAGATGATTTTCATCCTTTTGCTTATCTAGAATTTTTTTTACCAAAAAAAAAAAAGATATTATCTTTAAAACTGTTTTTAAACTTTTGAGATAAAAGGCTCATAAGGACAACTTTTTCTAACTATCGCCGTGTATTTTGTTTGCAGCATATAGTGACCTGGGCTACTACATCATCAATAAATTGCACCATGTGGACGAATCAGTGGGGAACAAAACAAGAAGGGCCTTCCTGTATCTTGCTGCCTTCCCTTTTATGGATGCGATGGTGAGTAGGGGAGATCGTCGGCACTTTTATTTTTAATTATGGTAAAAAATACATAACCTAAAACATACCATTTTAACCATTTTTATGTGTGCGGTTCAATGGCGTATAGTATAGTCACATTGTTGTGAATCTTCAGAACTCTTCATCCTGGGATACTGACTCTATTCCCGTTAAACACTGACTCCCCATCCACCCCTTCCCCAGCCCCTGGCAATCCGGAAATGGAAATGGGTCCACTTACTCCCTACAACAGATCTGCTTACTCCTTGGCAGGAAAGTTATGACCAGCCTAGACAGCATGTTAAAAAGCAGAGACATTACTTTGCCAACAAAGGTCTGTCTGGTCAAGGCTATGGTTTTTCCAGTGGTCATGTATGGATGTGAGAGTTGGACTATAAAGAAAGCTGAGTGCCGAACAATTGATGCTTTTGAACTGTGGTGTTGGAGAAGAATCTTGAGAGCCCCTTGGACTGTGAGGAGATCCAACCAGTCCATCCTAAAGGAAATCAGTCGTGAGTGTTCATTGGAAGGACTGATGTTGAAGCTGAAACTCCAATACTTTGGCCACCTGATGCAAAGAGCTGACTCATTTGAAAAGACCCTGATGCTGGGAAAGATTGAGGGCAGGAGGAGAAGGGGACAACAGAGGATGAGATGGTTGGATAGCATCACCAACTCAATGGACATGAGTTTGAGTAAACCCCATTAGTTGGTGATGGACAGGAAGGCCTGATGAGCTGTGGTCCATGGAGTCGCAAAGAGTCAGACACGACTGAACGACTGAACTGAACTCCCTACAAAATGATCAACACCCTTGAGGCTCTCTTCACTGCCCTCCACACTTTTCTCACTGGAGGAATTTTCATATAATGTGAAATTTCCCATCTGAACCATTGTTAAGTGCAGTTGAGTGGCCTTGGGTGCTTTCACATTGCTCTTCTCCCATCCCCACCGTCCACGCTCAGCTCTCTCCATCCTCCCCACTGAACGCTAACTCCCCACCCTCCCCAGTGCCTGGCACCCACCACTGTCACTTCTATGTCTGTGAACTCAACTACTCTCGGTACCTCATGAATAGAATGATACAGTATTTGTCTTTTTGTGGCTCTTTGGCTTATTTCACTTCACAGAATATCTTCAAGGTTCACCCATGTTGTAGCCTGTGTCAGAATGTCCTTTTCTAAGGCTGAATAATATTTCCTGTATGTATAAGCCGTATTTTGTTTATCCTTTCATCCGTCCATGGGCATCTGGGTTATTTCCACATTTGTCTGCTATGAATACTGCCACTAGGAAGATGAGTGTACAAATATCCCTTTGAGTTCTTGCTGTAATTCTTTTGAGTGTATACCCATAGGAGGAATTGCTAAATCATATAATAATTCTGTTTTTAAGTTTTTGAGGCTCCATCATACTGATGGAGCAGCTGCACTGTTTTACCTCTCCACTAGCTGTGCGGAAGGGTTCCAATTGACCACTCACTGACTTTTAACCAGTCCATCTTGTCAGTTTATTTTATGAGAATTGTCTGTATTTGCCACAAGTTCTGGCAGGAGACAAGAGAGCTCCCTTGAAAATTTGGTTCAAATATAAATTCTTTTCTGATCTATTCAGGCTCAAGAGATCAGGATAGCTTTCAGATAAACTTACCACTTGTGTGGTATAAGCACCCAAAGCTTTTTACAATAAGACTCACTTGAATATACTGATAAGGCTTTATTACTTTAATAACCAGCTTTGCTAGAGTAGCTAAGGATGACTCGCTTCCATAGATTAAATTCTTTGTCCTGATACTGAAGAGTTCTCAAAGAATGCTTTTCTCCTATTCATCTGTGTTGTAGATATAAAAGAGACTTAGCAAAAGATATATATATATGTATGTGTATATATATATATATACACACACACACACACACACACACACACACATATACATATATCTCTCATAATGGCTAATGGTGGAAAATAAACCCTTTCTTTGGGATCCATTTTAAATTACCCTTGGAAGAAAGCTTTAAAATATGATCATCTGTATAGGTTTTTTTTTTTAGTTTTTAAGAATTTTTTATTATGAAAAATTTTAGACATACATGAAAGTAAACACAAATCATTAGCATGCAACAAGGCACTTCTTTTAAGAAGATGGCCTTTGATTTTACGGCTATATAGGTTTTGTTTTGTTTTGTTTAACCACCCCTCTCCTCCAGTTCTATATACTTCAGATGTGTGAGGTGAGTATACCTCTGTGTCAAGGTTAAGGCTGCAGCCCCAAATCCTCAGAGGAAGGAGGCATGGTACTAATACAAATGCATGTGGTCCATCCTCTCAAATGTCATCAGAAGTCTCACTGTACCCCCAGCTGGGTGAATGGGCACAACCTCACTGAATCTGACGGCTTCCTAGCAGTGTGGGGGAGCCTTAGATACTGAACCCTCAGTTTCCACCGAAGGTTCTTATTTTCAGTTGTCCTGACATCACTTTAGGCTGAGAATTTGGCCATTGGAACACTTGTACCTGGATTTTCTTTTTCTTACTTATCACCAGGTGTGTTTACTCTGGTCACCAGGTGTGTTTACTCTGGTAGCTGACACATACCTTCCACCTCTGTGCCCCCTGCCTCCAAAAGAAAAAGGCCAAGGACTTGGGGTGTGTGGAAGCCGAGTCCCCACAGAGCCCAGGCTGGACTGAGGTGGCACCACAGTGCCCTCAAAGCAGTGAGAGAAGTGAATGGGGTGACAGCCTAAGAGAGTGAGAACCCAGCTTCCTAGGCAGAGTCTGAGACTCCACGCTAATGCCCTTCCTGCTATCTGCACTGGGACTCTGCAAACACATAGAAGAACTGCAATTATCAGGGAACTCAGGACCAAAGTGACCCACAGACTCTTTCGTGCCCTGTGTACCACTTCCTTTCTGTAACTTACTTGCCGCAGAAGTTCCCAAAACTCAAAACATTTGTGATCAGCACTCTTTTCTTCCATATTTCATCTACCAACTCACTCCCCCAAAAGACCAGTAATAAGAGATTACTGATAAAGACCAAAGTAATACACAACATCTCCCCCAAACACACACACACACACACCCTACAGCATGGCCCTGATGTATTAGTTGGAGAGAGAATATTTTTGAAGCTTATCATCCAGATAACTTTCAGTCAGTAAAGTGAGGCCACAAGCCACAATTTATAAATGTCATCTACACTTTGCCTTTCTTTTCATATTTGGCACCTTGGGACCTGTGAGCTAAAGAGGAAGTGGCGGTAGCTGCAGTTGTATAGTCTTGACACAGACCTAGGTTATTCCCTAGGTCTGCATGTGTTTAATTCATATCTGCTCACACTGTTTAGCGCACGTGAAATGTTATTTCTGTGTCAGTTCAGGTTGACCTTTACTAGTTAGAAAGATGATACTGAAACAGATCCTACTTTGAACTTCAAACCTTCTCCAAACCTGCCATTCCCTGGGCTTTTCGTTGTCTGAAGGCTTTCTAGCACCTTCCTCTTAATTCCCCTCAAAGGCACAAAGTGTCAGATCAGATCCTGCCCAAACTTACAGAGAAGGAAATAGCAGGACCCTGATCAGTCAGTGGGAGCCTGTGATGACCGCAGCAACTCAGAGGCCGTTTTGAGTCCTCATTGGAACCCACGTCACAGACCAGAAAGCTGTGGTTTGTGATTCACACTGGTCCCCGTTCCTGGTATTCACCCAGATTTCCTGCCAAGCCCATGAACCAGTACACTAGTCTTCAGATAATTGGCACCAAACAAATGCTATGTGGTCGCTGGTTCCACTTAAAAACCTCACTTGGGTGCTCGGGGCTGGTGCACTGGGATGACCCAGAGGGATGGGATGGGGAGGGAGGCGGGAGGGGGGTTCAAGATGGGGAAAGCATGTAAATCCATGGCTGATTCATGTCAATGTATGGCAAAAACCACTACAATATTGTAAAGTAATTAGCCTCCAACTAATAAAAATAATTGGGGGAAAAAAAAAAAACAACCTCACTTGGTCCTGGATACCAGGTTAAGTTACAAGCATCCTATCAATCAAAGATTCATTAAACTTGTGCTACTAAGGTTGGGAGGTGGGTGGGTATAAAGTCTATCTCAAGAACACCCAGGAGCTCATAAGAACTAGAAGTAACCTAATCCTGAATGTGTCTCATGCCCAAATCTCTCCTTCCCGGCAGGCATGGACCCATGCTGGCATTCTCTTAAAACACAAATACAGTTTCCTGGTCGGATGTGCCTCAATCTCTGACGTCATAGCTCAGGTGAGTGTGGTGTTTGTGTCAAAGCTGCTCCTTTCAGATGACGGACAGAACTGGCTGATGCCTCACTTACATCCATCCACCCTGCAGTGCATCCCTACCTGATTCAGATCAAACATGGACTTTGAGAAATGCTTGTTAAATGAATGAGCAAATGAACCCTCCTGTGATTACAGTGTGTAGAATCTTGCGAAAAGGGGGGATTGTAGGAACTGAATTTCACTATCAGAGGTCTTGACCTTTATTGTCAAGGCTCTTGCATGCGAAATGACTCTAAAGCCGTGGCCAGCAGGTGGTCATGGGGTCACTGTGTACCTGACCGGGTGGACACACGGGCCTCTGCGTGGCCGAGTCACTTAGGGCTAGGTTTAGGAGAGCGCTCCTAGACATTAGTCTTTAACTGTCATTGCCACCTGCGCAATTCAGGCATCTTTCCCCCAAACTTACAATCAGGAAATTGAGTCTGAGAACATGCTACTTCTGTCCAGTTTCCCCAGGGTCTGGCACCAGCCCTGGTATCCATGCTCCATCCTTTCTTCTTCCATCAAAGATACCATGACAGATTTTAGCAGAAGATATTTAATTCCTACAGTCTGTAAGTTAGGCTTAGTTCCTACAGTTGGGGACTTGGAGAATGATCTCTTTATGGAGAAGGAGGCAGACTGATTTCTCAACTTGCTTTCCAATTCTCAATTCCGTGCTATGAACATATCCACATGGTTCTTCCTGGTTATTTCCTGCTGAGCATGCTAGTCTTTCAGCCACCTTTTTGAAATAATCTACTGTTCAACTGTTAGTACCTCCCTAAAGGCCAAGAATTAAATTTCCAAATTAATTGCATTGACTCCATGGATCACTATTTAAAGTAATTTAAATTGCTTCCTGCTAACTTTATGTGTGTGTGTCTGTGTGTGTGTGTGTTTTCTAGCACATGCCTGAATACTCTCTAACATCATTCTTTGATGTATCTTTGTTAATTTTCTTGTTGAGTTATTAGAGGTTTTTTGCTTAGTCTTACTTTTGATTCATCCTCTGAGGGATGAACTGAACTGTCTCGTTCATGCTAATCACTTACTTGGAAATTAAGGGAACACCTCTCTTTTTCAACATGAGCATTGACATCTGAGTGAGCATTTGTAAATGCCATATCCTCAAAGGCAAAAAGAAAAACACACATCTTTGCCTTAGATGAATACAGCAAGCTTCCAAGAGTAAAAGAAAGAAATCGTATCCCTTAAAAATTTACAGCCTTTTTCCTTCTTAATTTTAAAACTGGTACTGACCCCTGCCTGCTGGGAGGGCTCGAAATTTCAGAATAAACATACCTGGTTAGTTGGGGCAATGGAAGCTGGATTCAGGTGCCATCTGTTCTCAGGCTGTTCCTGGTGATGTAGTTATTTTAAACCTTATAGCTTGAGTTCCTACCTTATAGCTTAACCCTTATAGCTTGAGTTGGTTGAGGGAATAAATTCAATTTTTATGCGTAAATGTTTTGCTCTCACTCCCACCCGCATCTTCATTCCTCTCATTACTTGAAAGCATTTGTTAATTACCAGATCTGGTAATGAATAAATAGATCCCAGACAAAATCCTTTTTTGAAAACATTTTTAAAGGTACTTATTTTATTTTTATTTTTAAAATTATGAAAGTATGATAATGCATTTACAAGAGACTTGGGAAAATACAGAACAAAATTACATTTAGTTTCACTAAGGAGATCCAACCAGTTCATCCTAAAGGAAATCAGTCCTGAATATTCATTGAAAGGACTGATGCTGAAGCTGAAACTCCCAATACTTTGGCCACCTGATGCGAAGAGCTGACTCATTGGAAAAGACCCTGATGCTGGGAAAGATTGAGGGCAGGAGGAGAAGGGGACGACAGAGGATGAGATGGCTGGATGGCATCATCAACTCAATGGAATGGGTTTGGGTGGACTCTGGAAGCTGGTGATGGACAGGGAGGCCTGGCATGCTGTGGTTCATGGGGTCGCAAATAGTCAGACACAACTGAGCAACTGAACTGAACTGATTAAGATCTTTGGTTGGAGTTTCAATATCAAACTCTCAAAAAATTAATAAGATGAATATTTGGAAAAGTAGAAGAATATGGTAGACCTATAAAGCACCATGAACCAATTCAACATAATTAAGATTTATACAATTTTCACACAGCAGTAGAATACAAATTATATTCAAGTTTCCATAGACTATAAACTAGGAGACATTGGAACATATCCAGGGACATAAAACAAGGTTCAAAAATTCTATGGTCTAAAGGTATTGAAATCATATAGAGTTCTAGGCAAAGTCCCTTGAAATACCACCTTGGCATAGATAGGAAGGGAGTGATCACCAGTGATAACATGAAAACAGTTTGTAATGCCTTGAGCTTCAGTGCCAACTCCTGTTTAAAAAGTAATTTTTAGTAACCTAATTAATTTCATATCATAATACAAAAAAAAGCTCTTGGTTTGGTTCCAACATGATATAGTTTTCTGTGTCACCATTATTTAATAATCATATGCTTTGTATTTATTTCATGATCACCTGGACTTTCTTAACTTGCTTAGTATCAAATGAAACTTCGTTGTGGGAGGCTGGGGTTGTTGGGCCTCACTGGGACATCTAGTCCTTTCCCCTATCTGCTGTCATCAGCCCTGGCCTTCTGAAGTCAGCCCAGACCCCACAGATGGGATCCCAGGATACCAGTCGAGTAATGTGGTTGCACTACTCTAAGTCCCCTTGTCTCCTGCCTTTCCATCTCAGCCTTCTGGCAAGATCCCAAAGATCTCAGTCGTGAACCACGCAGTGGTGTGCACGTTGCACCACTTGTACCCAGGTAGCAAGTGCTCCTGCAAAAAGTTTCACAGTGGGACAAACTGTTCGCAGTATAAATTCACAATCTCATCACTCACCTCAGCTGACTCTAGTGACCATGTCCGAGGGTCCCCACCCACCTCACTGTCCCCAGCAAATGACCTCACTGCCCACGACACTGAGGACCTCAAACCCACCTGCCTGCTTTCAGACCCTGGCATCACCCCTGCTCCCCCCATTACACGAAAGGTCATGTCCCTCCTTGGTCCCACGCCACTTCTTCCTCCGGTGCCTGGGAGCCTGTCCTGTCCTGCTTTCTGGGGAACCTTATTCATCACCTCTCTCTCCCCTGGATCATTTCTCTTGATGTGGAAACATGCTCAGACTTCTTCCATCTTAGAACAACCACAACCACAGCATCAGCAACAAGCTTTTTCTGGCTCCCATGTACCTCTGTAGTTACAATTCTGTTTTTTCACAGCCAAACCTTTCAGAAAGGTGGTTTCCACTCTGGGTCTCCATTTCTTCCCTTCTCTGTCCTTCTTTTACCTACTGCAGACTGACTTCCTCTCCCATCAGCTCACCCACACAGGTCTCACTAATGACCTGCCTGCCACTGAATCCAGTGCAACAGTTTTCATTGACTTGGTGGATGTCTCAGTAACTCTTTATTCTGTTGACTGCGCCCTCCTCCATGAAACACCCCTTCCCACTGGCTCTCACACCAACATATCCTGGTTTTTCTTCTACTTCTGACAGCCCCGATCATCTATTGATGTGTAAATGCTGAAGTTGCTCAAGACCCATGTCTCCTCACTGTGTATTCTATTCATGAAGAATCTGATGGGTGCCCCGCAATTATACCATCTGTAACATGACTGATATTCACCAAATAAATGGCTGCAGCCAAGCCCTCTGCTCTGGGCTCTAGACAAGGCATCTGAATGTCTCTATATTTCCATTCAGATCCTTCATAGGCATCGTAAGCCTCAATTCATAATCTTCATGATCTTGATGACTGCATTTTTGAATGAATCTCTGCCCCTACCATCTGCTCAGAAACCCGGGAGCCACCCGGGCAGCATCCCTCTTCATTCCCATCTGTCTAAAACATTTAATCCTAGATGCTTCCTTGTCAGCCCTCTTCTCCCCATCTCTGCTGCTCTGTTCTGAGAGGTCAGCCCTCCCACCTGGATCCTTAGAGATGCCTCCTGTGCCCAGGCCTGCCCCTCTGCTCTGGGTCTCCTCCCTCCTCCCCCAATGGGGCCACAGTAATCGATTCTCAGTGACATTCTGGCCACCTCATCCCCTCCTCGAACCTGCTTTCAGATTGCCTCCTGGTGTTCCTGAGATAAAAAGCCAGTATCCTGATCACAGGCTGAGAGGGGCTGAAAATCCACCAGCCCTGCTTCCTCCCCAGCCCAACCACTCTCCTCTGTCCCCTCGCTCTCTGTCCTCCAGGCCCCGGTCCTCCCTTCCAGACGGATGCGGCCGAGCCCCTCCCCCTGGGAATTCCCCCAGGGAATGCCCTGGCCTCTGCTCTCCCCACCCACCACCGGCTCCTGCCACCCACTGCCAGCCAGCTGCCTGGGCTCTGGGTCTCTGCTCAGATGCACCCCCACGGGGCGACCCCCTTCACTCCACAGCCTCCTCCCCACTTCCAGCACCACTGCCCTCTTCCCTTCACAGGCCTTGTCAGGGGTTGACCATGACTCCTGCCTTCCCCGTAAGGTTGTCTGCTCCAGGAGAACAGAGTCTGGGACTACCTTATCCATCACTGAATCCCCAGCCCAGAGCAGGCTCTCCCTGGGAAAATCCTCACTGCTGAGTCTGTAGGTTCCGCTCTCAAAATAACCTGATACAGTTTTGATGGCTGTATCAGATTCAAAAATCTTAATTCTGGATTGAAAATCAAAAGGGCCAGGTATTGTTTTAAATTGATAACTGACCCAACCCACGGTGAAGATGTAAGATATACAATAAGTGTTGGACCACATGGCATCAAGCTATTAACAACACGAGGGAGGCTGACAAAACCATCACTCTGGCCTTGGACTGGTCCAGGCCGAATGTCTCCTGCCTGCCTCTGTCCCACTCTAGCCCGCTCTGCTCCTCCTTCTGGTCCTCTGCATACCTCCCCTTCCCTTTTCCTTCACGTCCAGATCCCCTTCCTTGGTTCTGCTCATCTGGCTGTCCTGATGGCGCCACCAGGAGCCTTCCTGGACTTGGCAGAGGAGGGGGTCATCTTCACATATTCATTTTCCCTCCAACATGTTCTCAGTCTCTAAACACTGTCATTAATACCATAGGTTTGTGTATGTCGAATATGTGAAGCCTGCTGCAGACATACTAGTTTCTGATTAGTTAGAGAAATAAATGGGCATCTTGGCCACATCGCAAAACTCAGTCTTCTGTTCCGAACACAATGGGGCCTTAACAAGGCTTTGCTCAGCTAGTCTTTGCCATCCTTCAGATAATACAGCACGTTTGTTCCCCCGGGAAGCAGCGGGCATGGAGACAGTCACAGGCATCTTTCCTTCCATCAGTGGGCTCCACTGTATCCTCAGCATGAACGTGAGTGTGTGATCGGGGGCGTGAATGGACACTCGTGTCATCCACGCTCCGGGCAGCCACGTCCTGTCCAGGCGGCCGGGTCATAGCTCTGTCATCTGCATTCCTGAGGTCATCTCTGACTGATTCTGTCGCATTTAGTGGTTTAAGAACAACAGCCCCAGCACACATGTCAGCTTGTGGGATAAGCTGACCACCTCTAACGTCTAATACCTTTCTTTCGTTCCAAAGTTCCTCTGGATTGCTCTGTTCCCTGTAGCAATTGAATGCACTCATTTGACGAATCGTGCTCATTCTCCAGCTTCTTTTTTAACTTTCTGTCACCAGTCATTTCTTGAGAATGCAGTGATCAGAATACACCTCCTTTGGTCAGGCTCACTTAGCGGTGGTATATTTCACAAGCCTATTCTTCCATGGATGATTGGCTAAGAAGGTTGATGTAGCTCAGATACTCTCTCCCCTCCCCTATTTTCCTACCTCTGCACCCACTATTCCTCAGGGATTCTCCCAAGATGGGACTCCCAGGACTCTGCCCAGAGGCTGGACTGATTCCCTCACTTCCAAAGGATGAGAGGTTAAATAATTTGATAAATTTGCTTTAGAGCCTGTACCATTCAATAGAGATTGACACTTTACTGTTATTTCAATCCCTGCTGACTTTGTATTTTTTTGACCTATGCCACTTTTATAAGTCAATATCTTAAATTTTGATTGTCTGGTTTTATAATAATAAATACTGGTGGCTTTCACAGCATGTTTAGTGGAATCCACGTTGTAAATGTAAATGGCTGTTTTCCTGTGTCCCGTCATTTGTCACTATTCTGTCCTTTGTGGAAGGTCACTTAGGTCCTCTGGCGTGGATTACATGTGTTCCTGGAGAGGGAAAAACTCTTCTGCATCGTTTAGGGTCTGGGAAACCAAAGCTTCTGGGTAGTCTTTAGCAATAACCTTAACCAGATGTGCAGTTGCCTTAGAAAAAATACTTAGTGGTGAACATAACAGAGTGACCGTGTGTTCTTCCATTGCTTCCCAAACACCTGACCCTGGATTCTCCGAGAGAAGCCATGCGTGGTAGCCCCAGGTCCTGCTGTCCTTACCTCCAGTGTCAAGGCTTTTGCTCAGTGATCCATCTCAGTCTGGGTGCAAGAGGTTGTGCTGGGCTCCTGTTAATTGGTTCCGTCGTCTCCCTGATGACTGTCTGTTTCCCCACCTCTCAGGTCGTTTTTGTAGCCATTCTACTTCACAGTCACCTGGAATGCAGGGAGCCGCTGCTCATCCCCATCCTGTCCTTGTACATGGGCGCCCTCGTGCGCTGCACCACCCTGTGTCTGGGCTACTACAAGAACATCCACGACATCATCCCGGACAGGAGTGGACCGGAGCTGGGGGTAGGTCCTTAGACCCCGAGGACGGCCTGTCTGTACATCCGAGGGGAACACAGTTTGATCCTACCCCTGTGATTCGACATATCAGCGTAACAGGCACGTGCTCTGGGGTGTCCTATCCCAAGGTCAGGTGCTCGGTAATGTCCACAGGCATAAGCAGCTGGAGAGCGGATGAACTCTGGAGATGGAAGGGAGACCTTAGAGGCCACTCTCCAGCCTTCCTATCTCTGTACAAGAAGACTGAGTCACAGTGAGTCAGGTCAGGCCCAGGAGGAAACACAGTGTTCATGGTGCTTCTCACCCTGTGGTCGAAAGGAAGCCATTCTGTGATCAACAAAGATTTCGGGAGCCCTGGTACCATTGAACTCACATTTGTTTAATTTCACAGCAGGGATCCAGGCTGTGTTTGGGCTTTCTGTACTGGCTAAACACACTCATTCAGGCACCTTCTACAGAGAGAGTTGGGGAGGGTTTAGGTGACACAGGAAATTTTAAATATGGTCTGTGGCCTCAGTCAGCTTTATGTCCCATTTGGCTTAGTCACCAACACAGAAACAATATTCAGACAAGATGGCACAGACCACAATGGGAATACAAGAGCTTCCTTCTGAGGCTGAGAGAAGGAAGAGAGGGATGTGGTCTCAGAAGCCCTCCTTATGGAGGCAGAGATTGGCCTGTGCCTCGAAAAGTGAATATGGTACAAGCAAGGTATAATCTTACCCAGGTGACCAAAGCGTTCTTTTCATCACCGGTGTAAACAGTATCTAATTATATGTATGCTAATCTTCTCTACCCTCTGCTATCAATTGGGTTGGTATCTATCCAGCTATAATTCAAATAGATATGACTTTATATTTATATATAAATATAAATAGACGACTCTGTCCCTGGGTCGGGAAGATCACCTGGAGGAGGGCATGGCAACCCACTCCAGTATTCTTGCCTGGAGAATTCCATGGACAAGAAGAGCCTGGCAGGCTACAGGCCATGGGGTCACAAGAGTCAGACATGACTGAAGCCACTTAGCATGCAAAGTGGTATGTATATATGTACATGAATGTGTGTGTATATGTGTATATATATATATGTATATAGAGAGAGCTTCTCTGGTGGTTCAGACAATAAAGAATCTGCCTGCAATGCAGGAGACCCAGGTTCAATCCCTGGGTCAGGAAGATCCTCTGGAGAAGGGAATAGCTACTCTTGCCTGGGAAATCTCATGGACAGAGGAACCTAGTGAGCTACAGTCTGTGGGGTTGCAAAGAGTCAGACATGACTGAATGACTAGCAATTTCAATTTATATATAAATTGAGTACATTACCACACTCTAACCCTGATCCCACCTTTGACCACATGTTACTTTTGTCATGTCAAAACAGTCCTTGTAGTGACTACTCACCTTGATCTGAAGTCAGGCCATCAATAATAGATTGAGATATTTCCATCATGAGGAACACCACATCAGATTGGTCTTGATGGCAGCAATCCATCTTAACATTCAGCTGCTAGCAAAAGGAAATAAAGTGACTGAGATGGCTCCAGGATGCAACACTTACCTTTATGAAGAATCAAAACCAAAGTCACTTGATAAAAGCCAGGTGTTAAAGATAGTGCCTATCTTTGCTGTGGAATTGTTAATAAATAGCTTTCTCTTTACTATGCTTTTATTTTGCTTATGCTTCTGAACGTTTACATGACTTCTGTCAGAGCCTTGAGATTAGGAACCTCTGTCATAGACTTATAGAGTGCCTAAATAATTAGGCACATTCTTGACCACACTGATTCCAAAATAAATTACAATAATGTTTTATTTCTATGAGTTACCTCTTACTAACATGGCTTCTATCCAGTCAGTTTAATGATGTAAACAAGAACTTTTCCAACCTGTTTCTCAGGCTGTGAAGCTGGGTTCTGCTGGGGTTAGTATTGCCCTGTTTAGACAATAGTGGTTTGAATCCATCAAGTTAAAGGCGTGTTTTGATTTCGTGGGAACTTGCCAGCTGTCTAAGTTCAATTCTAATAAGACTGTACATCTTATTTTAATTCAACTTGGCTTGTCTACAGAGGCTTTTCCTACATTATTTATAAGTATAGTGAATTGACTCATGGTTGACATCAGAAGAAGAGGCTTTGATTCTGAATTATTTTTTCCTGCTCTTCTCGAGTTCAGCGAACTTTTATCCCATTTTGTTGATGCAGGGAGATGCAACGATAAGAAAGATGCTGAGCTTCTGGTGGCCCCTGGCGCTCATCTTGGCCACACAGAGAATCAGCAGGCCCATTGTGAACCTCTTTGTTTCCCGGGACCTCGGTGGCAGTTCAGCAGCGACGGAGGTAAGCACCTTCTGGGAGCGCGGGTGCCCAAAGTCGCCGTGCAGAAAATGGGGGCAGGGAGGTGGCTGACAAATTTGTTTCCAGTTCCTCCTGAGAGCTAAGAAATCCTGTGATACTAAGTTCTGTGATACCTTCACACAAGGAAGCATTGATCTCCATCCGTGACTTAGAATGATGTGATTTTGTTTTTTTTGTGAGTATGGAAACAGTGACAGACTTTATTTTCTTGGACTCCAAAATCACTGTGGACGGTGACTGCAGCCATGAAATTAAAAAGACGCTTGCTCCTTGGAAGAAAAGCTAGACAAACCTAGACAGCGTAATAAAAAGCAGATACATCACTTTGCCAACACACGTCTGTACAATCAAAGCTATGGTTTTTCCAGTAGTTGTATATGGATGTGAGAGTTGGACCATACAGAAGGCTGATCACCAAAAAATTGATGCTTTCAAACTGTGGTGCTGGAGAAGACTCATGAGAGTCCCTTGGACTGCAAGAAGATCCAGCCAGTCAATCCTAAAGGAGATCGGTCCTGAATATTCACTGGAAGGACTGATGCTGAAGCTCCAATATTTTGGCCACCTGATACAAAGAGCCGACTCATGGGAAAAGATCCTGATGCTGGGAAAGATTGAGGGTGGGAGGAGAAGGGGACGACACAGGATGAGATGAGTTTGAGCAAATGCCTGGGAGATAGTGAAGGACCGGGAAGCCTGGCGTGCTGCAGTCCATGGGGTCGCAAAGAGTCGGATGCGTCTAAGCGACTGAATGAGTGTAATGAGTATGGAAGAAGGTATCTTATTTGCCCTTCTCTTTTACCACATGAAAAAAACCAAGGTAAGGACACAAAAGTAGGAAGAAGCTGGACTGTGTTAGAATCCAGGTTTTCTTTCTCCCACTCAGAGGCCTCTCCATTTTCCCATGGAGTCAGCATGGAGCCTCTTCACTGTGGTCACAGGACGATGGGCCCGGCCGTGCACAGAAGTACCCAGAAGGCGAGGGCTGATGCCTCTGTGTTCTGACCCACCTCCCCTCGCCTGTCCGTGCTCCGCCTCCTGCACGTACCACCCAGCCCACCGTGGCTGCACACGCTCTTCGGCAACCTGCCCTCCTTCCAAGGAGGGTCTCCTCCATTTACTCACAACTCAAGAAATTGATCTGGAAACTGGCAGCTCCTCCAGGGAGAGAGTCGAAGCATTTTTTATTTATTTTCCATCATGCCAGTATGGTATGAACAAATAGACTTCATTTGTTTGCTCATCTGCTGCCTTCTGGGGAATTAATTCTGGCTCTGGGACTGCTGATCCTTCAGGAAGGCCGGTGGCCGCTCCCGAAAGCCTCCTGTTTACACAACTGCCCTTGAATGCGCTTTCAGCACGTCTCCAGGCCGGGGTCTCTTGCCAGGTTCCATGTCCTGGGAAGCAGCTCATGTTGGCCTGGAAAGAGAAGTACATAAATCACAAGCTGAATGCTTTCTCTTGCCTCCGTGGGTTCCTGGATTTTGTTTTCTTGACTCAACGAATGTCCTCTGGGGCGGCTTCTGTAACATGGCAGCTTTTTTACCTAATATTTTTGTTTTCGCTGCCCTGTAAAAAGTATGGGACACCCCCCTCCACCAATCACCTGTGTGCTAGAAGTCCATCTTCCCCTTAAAAAAAAAAAAACTAAGACAATTTGTACGTTAGAATCATTTCTAAATGGACTTCAGTGCATAGAGACAGACCTCAGCATAGGGGGACAGAACTGACATGAATTAATCGTCTGCTTCTGATGGTGTTGGCACTTGCATACATCTCATTGACTCCCAGCAGCCCTGTACTGTGGTTGTTGTAAGTCTCACGGTTTTGCTGGAGGAACAGAGGAGGGGCCTGAGAGGGTTCATGCTTCTCTTCACACACACCTGGGAAGTGATGGAGTGACGCTGGAATCCATCTGCCTGATTCCACCACCTGCTCCTCAGAGCAGTGTCTTCACCGGCTGGAGACCTACCTCATTCACATTCCTGGCATCGAAATGAAGGGTGACTGCAATCATGAAATTAAAAGATGCTTGCTCCCTGGAGGAAAAGCTATGACAAGCCTAGAAAGCGCAATAAAAATTAGAGACATCTCTTTGCCAGCTAAGGTCCGTATAGTCAAAGCTGTGGTTTTTCCAGCAGTCATGTACAGACAGAAGAATGGGTCCATAAAGAAGGCTGAGCACTGAAGAACTGATGCTTTCAAAATGTGATGCTGGAGAAGACGCTTGAGAGTCCCTTGGACAGCAAGGAGATCAAACCAACCCATCCTAAAGGAAGTCAACCCTGAATATTCATTGGGAGGACTGATGCTGAAGCTGAAGCTCCAATCCTTTGGCCACCTGATGTGAAGAGTTGACTCATTGGAAAGCATCCTGATGCCGGGAAAGATTGAAGATTCTGGGGAGGAGAAGGGGACGACAGAGGATGAGATGATTGGATGGCATCACCGACTCGATGAACATGAATTTGAGCAAGCTCCAGGAGATGGTGAAGGACAGGAAAACCTGGTGTGCTGCAGTCCATGGGGTCACAAAGAGTGGAACACGACTTAGACTGAACGACAGCAACAAAGAAATGAAACTCTCATATTCCTGGAAGAACCCGCTTGGCTTCCTGTGAGAAGTATTAGTTTTCTCAAGTTAAACATCAGAGCTGGGCTCTCCTGGGCTGAACAAACTGGAAGGGAGTTGAGTGGGGTGGCGAGTACCATAAAGCCACTGACAGGTGCACACAGTCAGCTTCCCTGAAGGACGGTGTGGAGGCAGAGAGGTGGTCCCTGAGTGCCGAGTGTTCAGAGAGCAAGGGTGGAGCTCAGAATGGCATTTGGAGACTCAAGAATCTCCAAATTCTTGAGGGAGGGTTCCGTTTGGCTCTGTGAGAACCTGGCGGACCAGGGTTGAAATCTTGGCTTTTCAATCAGCGATCGGGACCTAGATAAACGTATCTAAACAAGACGCATCCTCCTAGTCTCAGGTGCACACTCTGGACCTGCTCAGCCCACTCCCTGGGATGCAAGGGACCTCTGCCCCTTCCTTCTGCTCCAGGGCCGTCCCAAGGCTGGCCATGCTGTCACCCGGGATGGAATGACCTGTCAGGGGGCTGTAGCTGAGACGGCTCGCACTGCCACGTGGCAGGCGGCAGGCAGAGGCTGGAGATGCTCTCTGCGGATGCCTTGCTAACTGCCGGCTCTTCCTCTTGCAGGCTGTGGCAATTCTGACGGCCACATACCCCGTGGGTCACATGCCATATGGCTGGTTGACAGAAATCCGTGCCGTCTACCCTGCTTTTGACAAGGTGAGAACCCCATGCGGCGCGGTTTCCAAAACACTCTCTTTAAAATTAGCGTTTGAGAGAGAGCGATCTCCAGTGATGGACACCTCGGTGTCTCTCAGCCTCACCTCCCTCTGCAAGGTTGATGTAGCATTGGGGCTGGCAGAGGTAATTGTGGAACACGTCCCTCCAGAAATCACAGAGGTGAATTGATGCTTGCCTTGATGCAGCTCCCAGAACGTGTCTCCAAACTGGTCCTCACTTCTAGGTTACTCCTATTGAGAAATTATTTGCAAAAGGGAAATGATACGCTCAAAAAAATTAATATATGGTTTTCATTTCTGTGGTTTGTTGCTTTTTGTTTGTTTGTTTTTACTGACCTCATAGGTGATGTGAAGGTACAGCTTGAGTTCATAAGCTTATGGCTTTCTTTCGAGGGGGTACATGCACACCCTGGGTGCAGGCTAGTTCAGTTCAGTTCAGTCGCTAAGTCATGTCCGACTCTTTGTGACCCCATGAACTGCAGCACACCAGGCTTCCCTGTTCATCACCAATCCCGGAGTTTACACAGACTCATAACCACTGAGTCAATGATACCATCCAACCCTCTCATCCTCTGTCATCCCCTTCTCCTCCCACCTTCAATCTTTCCCAGCATCAGGGTCTTTTCCAATGAGTCAGCTCTTCGCATCAGGTGGCCACAGTATTGGAGTTTCAGCTTCAGCATCAGTCCTTCCAATGAATATTCAGGACTGGGATGAACTTATTCCAGCTGAAAGCTTCTGCTGACATTGCAGGGAGGCAATAAGTCTTCAGACCTGTAACCTGAGACCATGTCAAGACTGACCTGCAGGTCATTTGAGAAATGCCTATTTCATTCAAGTGTAATTATTTGAACCTGTAAACGTTCAACCTAAAACAAATAAGTAGAAAAAGAGACCCCACCCCCCAAAGATTGTATGCAATGTTTTAAAATGGAAAAATAGGGAAAAAGCAAACAGCCTGCCCCTTGTACTCTTAAGAGCAACTGTTTGAATTTCTGTAGAACTAGCTCAGAGTCACTACTGACATCATTTTAATCTGATCCCGAAAGAGCCCTGAGAGGTGATGAGAGGAAGTCTGTTCACCAGCGTCCCCCGCAGATTACCTGCCTCTCTCCCCCAACCCATAATCAGTCACCTGTGAGTAGCAGCTCCCCTCCAGGCAAGTCAGGGATCGCCCCCACACAGCCACACATGAGAGAGGGAGGCTCTCGTTCAGAACTTTTTACGAGGTTGGAACTTCCCCAGTAAACTGAGTTGGACGCTCCACCACTTGCCAACATTCACTTGGAGCATCAGGATGCAGAGCGTGTCCCAAAAAATGCCTTTGATTCCTGCTTCCCAAGCCCAAGAGTGGATCAGAAGGTCTGAGCCATGTACAGCAGAGAGCTATGTTGGACTGGGTTTAAGTCAATCTATGGAGAGAAATCAGTATTTTCATGTCAAGGAACATGTATATAGAAGTAAGTCCTCGAAAACCAAGATGGATATAAGTCTTATTGCTAAATGTTTAGCTCTTGGAGAATAGACTATATAATAAAATCCAATAACAGGGTTCTACTTGTGTTCGAACCTCCTGGCTGTGAGCGTCTCATCTGAAATCAGTTTTGGCTACCTTGAAATGATTAAACTTAACAATGCAGCCCTATACAATTTCGCTAAGAGCAGCCAAGAAAAACATTGTTTTATTCATGATTACAGAGGTTAGATGCTATGAAAAAAATCCCTTTAAGGAGCATCTCTTGAGCCTGATGCTGGAGGAAATCAGGATACTTATGAAACCTCCCCGTTGTCACCACGCATTCCACCGCACCACTCCGGCCATTCCCATGAATGCCGTCTATTCACCCAGATCTTAGACACCTCTGTGTGGACTTCCGGAATTTGCTGCATTGACAGTTGAAAATCCTTAGCCTGCTTGTGGGTTCCAGACTTAGAGATTTAACATTTCTCGCATAACTTCTGATGTTTCTAGCTAAACAGGGAGATGGGAGAGTTTTCCACTCTTTCCCATTCTCTCTAGTGTTCGGTTATCATCTGCAAGAGAGTGTATCTCTACAAAAAAGCCGATGGGGCAAGCAAGACAAGACACTGATACTGAGCTAATGATAAGTGCCGATTTACTCCAACCATATTGGCAAACATATTTGCTGTCTTAAAAATCAAAGCACATTGAGGGAGCTGGGGCCCATGGCTGTCACCACGGGGGCGGGGGGGGCGGGCATGTACATTTGGAGGCGGGGCCCCCTCTCACCCAGCCCACCAGGGACCACCCTCGCAGATCCCTGGGGGAGAGGAGATGAAGAGATGTCGCACGTGCTGTGATGGGCACTGTACCAGCACGGCAGTCTGTTTTCCAGGAAAAGCAGGTGTGCTTTAGAGACTGGAGTGAAGAAAATGGAAACCCCGCCAGAGGTTTGTGCGGGCGACCTAAAGGAGAAGGGCTTCCAGAGACTGTCTCAGCCTCTGATGGGAAGCAAACATCAAGTGGGACCTGTAACACCTCCACTTGTACATCTATCATTAGGTTGATGTGGGAGCCAGGGGCTTGTTTGTTTCGGTGAGTCAACTCTGGGGCTCACCGGATACTAATGAGGTGGGCGTTGTTTTTTCTCAGCTGCTGTTCACAGTCAAGGACCAGACACTCGACCCTCAATCAAGGGTTTTGATTGAGTGGCAGGTACACTTAGCAATGACGCTGAGATGGCATCAGCCAGCCTAGGGGATGTGTCAGTGAAATGTACTCACATTTCAATTTAACAAGGGCTGTTTGAGCATCTTCTTTACTTAATAAAGATGGTGCTGAGTTGCAGGAGCTAAAGAGATGGATGAAACACCCAGTCCTTTATCTCAGGGAGCAAATGTGCCCCTCACAGGAGTCTTGACATGTGCCCCTTGATTCAGGCTCAGTTGCCATCCCTGCCTGCCTGCAGACCCCAGGGTGGTCGGATACTGCAGGAAGGGATAGGGCCCTGAATTAGGTGGGTGGGCACCCAGCGCCCTGGAGAGGGGACTGACTCCGGAGACACTGCTGGGCAATTCATTCCGGAACTCCTTCTGGTTAAGAGTCCAGAAGCCTGACAGCTGTCTTGAGAGAGACGTCCAGTGGCAGCCATCTTCCAAGCTGTCCCTTGACATCTATGCTTCAGATGCATCAAATCAAACAGAAACGAGATGCTCAGTAAGAAGCGTGAGCGGTCAGCCCGGGATAACCCAGAGCCTTTTCTTGCCCCCCTAGAATAACCCCAGCAATAAACTGGTGAGCACGAGCAACACGGTCACAGCAGCCCACATCAAGAAGTTCACGTTCGTCTGCATGGCCTTGTCGCTGACGGTAAGGACAGACCCACCCCCAGCCCCCACCTCTGTGTCTGTTTTTGGAAAAGAGGAAATTGCCATTTCAAAGGGAGAAGTCTTGTATTCCTTAGTGCAGTGCTGTGCTAGATAAGGTGACAACCTATTCTAGATATTTTCATCCCAAAATACAAACGACTGTTAATCAAGGATGGCGTTGAGTCTATGCTTCACCGGGTGGATCAGATAGTAAAGAACCTGCCCGCAAGGCAGGAGACCTGGGTTCAAGCCCCGGTTTGGGAAGATCCCCTGGAGAAAGCAAATGGCCATCTACTCCAGTGTTCTTGCCTGGAGAATTCCTTGGGCAGAGGAGCCTGGCAGGCTACAGTCCATGGAGTCGGAAAGTGTCAGACACAACTAAGCAACTTTTGCTTTCATCGAGTCTAAGAGTAGAGGGTCAACTTCTGGCATTTCTGTAAGGGGCTTCTTACATGCCGAAGGAAGGCAGGCTTTGCCTTTTTTAATGATATTCTGTCTTACTGAATAATTTCCAGCCTATCTTTAAACACCCAGAGTCAACTGCCTCTTTTCCAAATTTAATTGGTATGATTTGTTTCACTGGTAAAAGTTGCTTTCTTTTTATGTTTACACTGCTGTATCCTTCCTATGGAGCCATCATTCACCATATACTTACCAGGCACCTACAGGATCCAAAACCCTGCACCGTCTTCAAGGATAGAGGTGTGAACAAGAGTGGATAGCGCCTCCTCATTGGCAGGGCCTGTCAGTGACACTGCACAGCCTTAAATAAGCAGTTCACACCCTTTATCAACTCAGCTGGGCAATGTGGATGTAGGAGATGTGTTCAAAACAAATGGGAAAAAATTCCAACATACTCTATAATCCAAAGCACACAGTATATGACTTAAGATTGCTTATAACATTTGTCAACAGTAGCAAGAAAATAATAATGACATTTATAAACATCTTCACATCATAGACTGTGCTCTGTGAGTTCTAAAGATGGAGATGAGAAGAGGCTAAAAAGAAATAGGGGTCTTTTGAACTCAGTTCCTAGTTTGTTGTGGTGACTACATATTTAAGTCCTGTAGAAATTCTCCATTTTTACAGCTTAATGGAAAAAAACAGAACTGAAATAGCTGAGTGTGGGCAATTCCCGTCATAAATGACTGATACCGAGGACATAAGACAGTAAGAGGTTTGGGGACAAGTGATGAGAGGAACTTTGTGAGCGTTGTCACTGGCCATTATCACAAGAACCACTTAGCTAGATGAGCCCTAAGAGGGGTCCCTTAAATCAAGTCTGACACACATTTTCAACCTTCCTTGGATTTTTTTTTCCAAAACCCATAGCTTAATACTTACTTCTTTGACCCAACACCTGAGTAAATTCCTCAAGGACGACACGAGGTCTGTAGCCCATCGCCTAAGACCTCTGACACTGGGTCATGACTCGGCATCCGTGGCCACCCCATCACCCCAGCCCAGCCCTTCCTCCCGGTCTGTCCCTCAGGACACTGGGAAACTGCACGGGGGTGTCAGAAGCATATTCCAGGCCGCCTCCCCAGGGTGGGGAGACCTCTGATAGCACGCCTGCCTGAGTCAGGTAGGTCACCCCAGGCAGCCCTGGTTGTATTATTTCTCCCTCCAGCGTGCAAATTTTTCCATAGTTCCCTAAAACATTAGCAAAACACTGCACAACCTTGAAACCGTTTAAAAGAGGATTTTAGGAAAAACAGAGAAGGTTTCTATTCCCGGAGCAGACCTCAGCTTTTGGAGCCTGCATGAAGTGGCTGGAAGTTGAGAGTCGAGTTGGTTCGGGCGCCAGGGTCTGTGACTTGGACACCATCCAGCACCAGAAGCTGGAAGCTCTGGGCTGTTGCTCACTCTGCGGCCAGGGTCTGGCCCCTCTGTCTCCTCTCACTCCACTTGGCCCTCCTCCCTCAGTTACGGTCAAGTCTGATGGAGAACATCACCAGGTTGAGTTTCCGGATATTCCTCCCTTTCTTCGGTTCACAGGCAATACTCTGTACTTCTCAAACAAAAGCAGCAAGTGTATTTTGAAGTGATAACCACTAATAATTTTATTAGCTTTTCTAATATAAACTAGAAAAATGCTTCGATTTCCCATAGAGAGATTTTAGTTATTTAATTATTCTAATCCTACTATCTGTGTGTGTGCACTAAGTTGCTTTAGCTGCGTTCTACTCTTTGCGACCCTGACCCTATGAACTGTAGCTCGCCTCTGTCCATGGGATTTCCCAGGCAAGAATACTGGAGTGGGTTGCCATTTCCTTCTCCAGGGGATCTTCCTGACCCAAGGATCAAACCGGAGTCTCCTGTATTGGCAGGCAGATCCTTTACCACTAAGGCACCCGAGAAGCCCAGACTACAGGATCGGGTAAACCTGACTTTTAGAAAGGACTTCCCAGGAGGCTCGGTAGTAAAGAATCCGCCTGCCAATGGGGTTGCAAAGAGTCGCACACGACTTAGCAACTTAGCTACAGCAAATAACTTCTATGTGCACTGGGAAACCAAAAAATTCATGTGACTCACTATATTGCAATATTCACTTTACAGTGATGGCCTGAAATAGTTCTGAGGGATGTCTATACATGTATTTAATAAAGCTTAAAGTTTTATTCTTGCTTTACCACAATATTCATTATACTGGGGAAGTAAAAAGTGAAAGTGTGAAAGTGTTAGTCACTCAGTTGTGTCCAACTCTTTGTGACCCCATGGACTATAGCCCACCAGCCTCCTCTGTCCATAGAATTCTTCAAGAAAGAATACTGGAGTGGATTGCTGTTTCCGTCCCCAGGGGATCTTCCCGACCCAGGGATCAAACCCAGGTTTCCTGCATTGCAGACAGATTCCTTACCATCCGATCCACCAGGGAAGTCTAGACCAAAACCTGCATTATCTCCGAGGTCTGCCTGAAATAGCACCAGCTAGAAGCCCGCCTTCCAAGCTCCTTCTCCAGGGCCTTTTTCTCTGAACTGTGCTGTTCCAGCAAATAGGAGCAGATCCCTGGCACTGACGCTGTGCACTGAGGCACTTGCCGGCACGCTTGAAGCAGTGGCTTCTTCAACAACACAAACAGTAGTATTACAGCGTGTCTCAGATACATTGGCTTCCCAGGTGGTGCTAAAGAATCTGGCTGCTAATGAAGGAGACGCAAAAGACGCATGTTCGATCCTTGGGTCGGGAAGATCGCCTGGAGAAGGAAATGGCAACCCACTCCAGTATTCTTGCCTGGAGAATCCCATGGACAGAGGAGCCTGGTGGGCTATAATCCACGGGGTCGCAAAGAGTCAGACACGACTGAGCGACTTCACGTTCACCATGTTCATTCTTCATATCTATTATATCGTGTAGGCCCTGAACTTCCCTAGGATAAGTCACCTCTTATCCCCAGGGCCTAGCATCCTGCTGACACAGAAGGGGCACAATAAACAGAACGCAAACACAGGAATCAATTAATACTTACCTGTGAGATAAGGATCAGAAAGGTGCCGATGGCATTCACCCCTCCTGAGCCACAATCTCCTTATTTATACTGAGGTTATCTTAAAGCTCTTACGAGGCCCTTTACCTGAGAGTCTATTTTCACTTTTTTAATTTTTCAACTGCATCGTATCAGGAAATTAACATTGCAGAGCACTTAGGATAGACACATCATGCTTACTGCAGTGGGCGATATTCTGTACAAAGCGCAAGCCTTCTGATGGTTCCAGAGCTTTCTCTGCATTGCCTAGGATTAGAGCGCTTTGCCAAGCACTGGTCCTTTGGGCATTAGTGACTCTTCTCTCTGGGACTTTGAGAAGAGCTGGCGCCACAAATGCTGCAGACACCCAGTGACCCAATGATGCTAACTGCTTTTCCAAGGAAAAACTGTATTGTCCAGAGCAGAAACTCATCTTGCAGTCAGAATGGGCCCATTCTTCAGGCCCTGACATGTTCAGTTCAATATCTGACTTTGCCTGTGAAAAATACTTTTGACAGTTAGTAAGAGACCCTGGTGCTGGGAGAAAGATTGAAAGCAAAAGGAGAAGGGGGCGACAGAGGATGAGATGGTTGGATAGCATCACCGATTTAATCAACATGAACTTGGGCAAACTGGGAGATAGTGAGGGACAGGGAGGCCTGGCGTTCTGCAGTCCCTGGGGTTGCAGAGTTGAACACAACTGAGCAACAACATGAGACTAATATTTCAGCATGCCACAATGCATGTATACGCTTATTCTCTCGTATAGATTTTCAGTTTAATTTGGAGTGAACCCCTGACTCAGAAAGTTCGTTCTTCCCTCATTTTCTTATCTGAGAGTTTGTCTGAACCACTGGGCTTCAAGACAAGCAGCCCAGGATGCCTTCTGCCCAGATGGGAGAGGAAGTGGATTTAGGAAGAGTATAAGGTAGGAAAGCAGAAGTTTGTCCCAAGGAGCATCTTGCTCCCCTGCCTTTAGGAAACTCAGAAAATCAGTGATTGGCTTCTTTAGACCATTTGATGGCAGTGAGGGTGAAAAGGGAGAGCTTTAGCTGATCTGAAAGATCAACTGCACGATAGTAAGAACCCCCTGATATAAATTAATCCCCTCAATAGCAACAAAGGAGCAGGCACGATGCAGACCAGGGTTAGCAAGGTGACTGCAGGCGGACACACTACCGCTTGGGGTGAAGGAACACACAGTGCAAAAATATGCGCTCTTTAGATAAGGTTGAGAGAACAGCTTCAGAAGGCATGCCGCATGGTGGGAGCCGGTGTGGTGTAGTGGCCACTCAGAGGAGGCCAGCGAGCCGCGCTGTCAGGACAAGGTAGAACCATGGAGCACAAGGCTGCAGCTGGCACTGGGGTCAGAAGCAAGCAGCCGGGTTTGCCCAGAACCTTCTGGCAGAGCCATGGTCTCCATCCCTAACGTGACCGATTGTAAAGCCCCATGATGCTCAGAGTGTCCTGAGAGGCTGCGTTTCTCTAGTAGACAGTTGTGGTGATCACAGACGGAGGGTGGTGGCCATGAG